TTGACTCAAAGAGACAGAAAATGAGGAGAAAAACTGCCACAACAACCATTATGTGCTGCATAAAGACTCATACCAGCGGTCCTCAACCTGTGGGCCACGACCCCTATGGGGGTTGAACGACCATAGGAAAATACATGTTTATGAAGTAGCAACGAAAATAATTTTATGTTTGGGGGTCACAACAATATGAGGAACTGTATTAAAGGGTCCGGCATTAGGAAGGTTGAGAGCCACTGAAGTATACGTAAAAATAATAATAATAGGGCGTGACGAGAGAGAGAGAGAGAGATAGAGAGAGAGAGAGATGGGGCGAGCAAGGGATGAAACACAATAAATTGTAATACAATTGTTTGTAGCTGGTGTTTAAAGGATTGCCTATGAATAAAACATGACGTGACATCATCGTTGGTGAAAAGAAATTGTGGGCGCATGTGTGTGTGTGGGGGGGGGGGGGGGGGGGGGGGGGGGGGGAAGGGGGGGGAGTGAGAATAACAGGGAGGGGAGATGAGGCTGAAGGCTAATCACGAATTAAGAGGGCATGTATCGGTGAGGGATACCTCGCGGAGAAAAGAGATGGGAGGGGGGTGGGTAAAGGAGAGATGGGGTTGTTGAGGGTTGGAGGTGCTGGAGGATGAGGGTGATTGATATGGGTTATGCAGTGAGAGAGAGAGAGAGGGATTGAGAGAGAGAGAGATGGTGATTGTTACGGGATGTTCATACAGAGAGAGAGAGAGAGAGAGAGAGAGAGAGACAGAGAGAGAGTTTGAGATTGCGATTGATATGGGATGTTTACTGAGAGAGAGTTGGAGAGAGAGAGAGAGATGGTGATTGTTACAGTATGTGTAGAGAGAGAGAGAGAGAGAGGAGAGAGAGAGAGAGATTGTGATTGTTTCGTTAAGTTCAGAGAGAAGCTTTTGGCTGAAGATAGCCATGGTCAGGGAGAGGCTTGTGATAGAGAGTATTATATTTGAGGGAAAGAGTTATAAAATTGTATGCTTAGAAGGGGGTCTTGAATAAATATTTATAGATGCTAATTGCTACGTATTTAGTTGTGCGCTATAAAGACAGGGAGGGAGTAGACTCAGATGAAAACAGTGTGTGCGATAGAGAGAGGACAGAGAGAAGAGCGGGTGAAAAGGGATAGAGAGAAGGTGGGCCTCTAATGATCCCCGGAAGAATTGCGAACCCCAATTAAGACCTGCATTTCAATTGTGCCAGGACCACGGAGCTCTGCTTGCAAGGCCCTGGCAGGACCTCATGTCTGCGAGGCATCGTTTGTCCGCGCATGCGTGCGACAGCCTGCACATCCGCTTGTGAGTTGGTCGGTTTGTTTGATGGAGGTCTCATTTATTTTCGTTGACAAGTTGCCTGAATTACTTCTTATATTTGTTTCTTTTCTACAGATGCTTTGCGAATTTGCATTGTTTTTTTTTTCTTACCGTTCTTCGCCTTGTTGTTGTTTTTAAGGCTGTTTGTAAATAAATGAAACTAGAAAGTTTTGAAGGAAAAATAATAAAGAAGAAAATCAATCAAGAAAAAATCGTGAACAAACGAACAAAAAAAAAAAAAA